GGCCAACAGCGGCCCGCGCCGCCGGAGGGCGCGAAAAATGCCCACACACCGCATCATGGAGGCCTTTTCGATCGCGATCTATCGATATCGATAGTGTATAGAGAGAAAGATCGATATTTATATCGTTAGAGAGAGAGATATCGATATCTATAGTGTTATAGAGAGAGATATCGATGTCAATAGTGCTATAGAGAGAGAGATCGATATTTATATCGTTAGAGATATATATATCGATGTCTATAGTGTATAGAGAGAGATATCGATATCTATAGTGTATAGAGAGAGATATCGATGTCTATAGTGTATAGAGAGAGATATCGATGTCTATAGTGTTATAGAGAGAGATATCGATGTCTATAGTGCTATAGAGAGAGATATCGATATTTATATCGTTAGAGATATATATATCGATGTCTATAGTGTATAGAGAGAGATATCGATATCTATAGTGTATAGAGAAAGATATCGATATCTATAGTGTTATAGAGAGAGATATCGATGTCTATAGTGCTATAGAGAGAGAGATCGATATTTATATCGTTAGAGATATATATATAGATGTCTATAGTGTATAGAGAGAGATATCGATATCTATAGTGTATAGAGAGAGATATCGATGTCTATAGTGTATAGAGAGAGATATCGATGTCTATAGTGTATAGAGAGAGATATCGATGTCTATAGTGTATAGAGAGAGATATCGATATCTATAGTGTATAGAGAAAGATATCGATATCTATAGTGTTATAGAGAGATATCGTGATATCTATAGAAATTAACAGAGATAATTGGATCTAGGATGATCGCGCTAGGGGTGGGTGGGGGTTGGAGGCGCGAGCGGCGATCGGGGATTGGGTTGCCAGTCGCCTCGGTTCAATGGCTTTCCTTCGGGTTTAGACTTTGTGAATATCCTCCCTCTTCTATTGGGTTGTGAGGTGTGTATTTAAGTTAGGGTGCAAGCTTTATTTACCGTTTGAAAAAACTCCTAAAGCTCGCAGGTTACTTGTTTTTTTTAAGTGGGAATGGTTCATGGAAAATATCCAAGTTCATGGATTCAAATGGTGAAGAAAGAATAAAGAAGGGCAGGATATTTGATGGGAAAGGAAGTCCAATAAAGGTCTTTTTTTTTTTCATGTTAGACATACCATTCGTCCTCTTTTCCATATAATAGAAAGATTCGCTTATAATAACCCCCCAAAGGAAAGAAGAGCAAGTGTGTTTATCAAAATAAACACATTGGGAGTCTGAATAATACCCACTAGGGCGAATTGTATTTTTTTTTGATAATATTACTTGTCCTCAAACTAATTACCCAATAATAATAACAATAATAATGATAAACGATTCATCCTCCTCCTCCTCCCTGTAGAGCAATCTGACTGAGCTGCTCACTGAGCGTTTCGATCATCGCATCCTCCTCCAGTGCGGGCGAACTACCGCTTTGATTGGCCATATGCGAGAAAGGAAACTTCAAAGAGATGAATTCGCCAGAAAAGGTTGGGTCGTTGGCGTGCATAAAATAATGGTGAAGCACGCGGGCGCACTTCAACGACGGCGGCGGCTCGTTCGCGCTCAGTTCATCTTCCATCACTTTGTTAGTCGTTTCCGTTTTGAGCGACTTTCGGAAAATGGCATGAATTCTCTCCTGAAGGATCCCACCTGTGGGATTGGAAGACTCCAGTGTTTGCATCGCCCTAGTGAGTTTGAATGAGCAGAGCAAAATATCCTCATGAAGCCGTTTTCGCGCGCCTGGATGCGAAGGCGGGGGCGGGTTCACCGAGCCCTTTTCACCAACCTCCACGTCTTCGAGCAATCCCAGATTAAAGCAAACTAAGAAGAGCGAGAGGTGAAGAATATTCA